GTGTCTCCCACTGGGGTCTGCAGAGGCATAGCAGCCATTTGACCAAGAGAAAATCAACAGACTTTCATCTTATTTCCACTTTCCCACTCCCCTGATAGTCCTCCTGGTCCTCCTTTTTCATCGGTTTTAATTAGAGAAGCAGCTCATCCATGAAGTAGAGTTATGCTGGGGTAAAATCAGAGGAAGCAAAGAAGCCAGCTGTGTCCCAGGCTGCTAACGTGCATTCCTGGCCAATTCAATGAGTGCTTCCTTCAAGCCACGTGAAGCTGAAGTTACCAAAAAATGTCCCACTTAATCTTTCCGAGAAGCAGTTGCCTCTCCCCATCTCGCAAGGTCTGCTCCACACCATGGGACAATTCACATCCCTCTGTAACCACATCCAGGCAGACCATGGTCAGCCACGCCGCTCCCCAATACCTCTCCTCTCACACAGCAAAGAGAAAAGGCAAATTATGCTTGCCCCACCACAAGCCAGCTGAAGAAGGGCTGAAAAGCCCTTTGTTGGATGTACAGCACTGCCTGCCACGTACGTTTTCCCCTTTCCCCCTCCATGAACAGCTCAGCTGAGCCCCGTGGAAACCCGCAAGAGCTTTCTAGCCTGTTATGAAACTCAGGCTTTGGCGGAGCGTAGAGATTCCTGACCGAAGAGGGGAAGACGGGGGCTCTGCTCCTTGCCAAAGCAGCGTCAACTGATCCGCTATGGCTGTTCTCCACTTAAAGTAGGACAAAGCCTCCTTTAGCGCCGTTTCTCCTTTTTTCTAAGCGGCAGAGCAGACCTCCGCCGCACTTGCCCAGGGATGCTCAACGGAGGCAGGACACATCAATCAACTAATTCTCCAAACGGTTCTTGTGCCTGGTCTAGACTTAAAACTCAGATTCATATAAGAAACTCACTGAGAAGGTGGAATGTGCTGTGTTTTCTTTACCCAAATAGCTATAGCAGGAAAAATCCTATTGTGGTCACTGCTATATTAGAAAAAAAGCAACTTAGGACATTTTTATATGAGGATTTTATTGGTAGTACTTTTGCCAATATGAACCTTTCAAAACTCACCAACAGAACATTTTTCCATTTGAAAATACCTTTCATCAGAAACCCATGAAGCACATCAACTCTCATCAACAAAAAAAGAAGTAGGAGTGGAAGAACGGCAAATCACATTTCTCCCATGTCAAAATAGCCTGTCTCAGAATTTTCTGAGCAGAATCTTTTAACATTTTTTATCAAAAATATGATTTTAACAAACTTGAGATGGACTTGTCATCGTTGTTAACAGCTTCTGTTGGTGGGAGATTTCAGATGGAAACCAGCTGTTGAGACTGCGAAATGTTCGGCTCAGTGGAAATCAAGGCCTGGCTCTGATGTGCTGGGTACACCAGTGAGAAGAGAGCGTGTAATGAAGTTTCCGGCAGGCATCCTGCTGCTGGCTGTCTGGGGATGGGGCTTCAGTCAGATTCTGCACGTGGTTTGAGTCCTTGGCGAGCCCCAAGGCGAAGCCAGCAGCTCCACAGCAGCAGCCAGCCCCGAGCTCCTCGCCAGGTCCCGCATCATGCAGCCTCCTGCCTGCAGTCTGCAGGTTTTGTTGCTGAAGGGAGATCACTGCACTGTATGTTTTGTAAATAAAAGATGACACTAAGAAAACACCTGCCTATGCGTCATCAACTCCCTTCCAAACAAGACACGGACCCCTACATCTCCAGATCAGCTTCGCGGCGTGTTCCAGCTGCTCTTCTTTTGTCTGACAAATTGGCACTGTCTACCCTCAAAACTCCGCAGCATCTGAAATTTGGGGGTCAGCAAAATATTTTAGACATCAGATGCAAGAAGCATGCATAAAAGCTTTGTCTTGATTGTAACACAAGGAAATCTGGATGCAAACAGTAGGAGTTATGAAAACATTTAAGTCGAGGCTGTGTATCGAGTTAGGAAAAATAACATTTGACCCACGAGTCACCCGTTCTTGTTTTTGCAGTGTTTGAACAGCCTGTGTAGATCTTTGTTTGAATTGTACACAAACACATTGAATTTCACGGTCTTAGCAAATATGTAATCTAAGGCAAGGGGAAGTGTGGGTGACTTGCATTTCTTAGGATCCACCTACATACAGGGATAAAATAAGGAGCGTTTCATTATTAACTGCATATATATACACGTACATGTGTGTGTATATATAGTGTATATACATATTATATTATACACACAGTATATGTATGTGTGTACATATATTATGTATATATATGTACAGAACAATAACAAAACACTCCTTATGTTGCTCCTATATGTAGGTGGGTATTAGATATTTTATTTTTTTAAAAAAACATAGCCATATTATGAACAACCATACAATAAACGAAGTGGCATGCGCATGAGAAAGTGAGGACAAATCATGAGGGAAAGATATTTTACATGGAGGCTTCCAAGGAATGTTACCAAAGAAGTGATTTATTTGTGGAATTTCAAGGGGGGGAAAGGAGGAAAAGACACAAAGGTCTCAGAGCTGCAAGCGAGATAAACTGTACATCATCATGTCTTTAGCAAACTAGAGCGCAAATTGTAGACAAATAGAAAGAAGGGGGGGAATATATGAACCATAAGCTTCAAAATTATGGGATGCTTCAAGCCTGTGTGCAGAGTTTAAGGACAAAGGGATTTCCCTGATTGTTCCCTCTCTAGAAATAAATCACTGTTGCGAGCAACACCGGAGAACAAAATAGTTTCAGGATATTTATAACACCTTGGCTGAGTCCCTTTTCTAATCGGAGAAGCTGGTGTGGGGTGAAGCTTGTTATTTCCAGCAGAGACAAGTTAGCTTATTAAAAAGATAATTTTGCAGTGGCAGTTTAATATCTGTGGCTTGTCACAGAGTTTACTGCTGTTAAGTAAGGGTCCTTTTTTTTTTTTTTAATGTTCACGTAGCAAAAATGTAAATGTGAAAGACCCTGTCCAAAAATACAGCCCCCCTCCAAAGAGGACACCGAGCACTGGCAGCTGTTGAGACATGGAGCTGTAGCAAGGCACGTTGGCTATCGAAGTGATGACGGGGCCTCGACAGATTCGCCTTTATCTGTCACTTCTCTCCCTTCCCCTTGGCTATACCTCTTTTAACAAGAATTGATGGTGCTTTGGACCTTGCTTGATATGGTCCAAAAAGTGAGCTATATTCTTTGCCCTGACCGGTACCTTTTGAAGGGCTGGATCCTTCCTTCCAGAAGTACGGTGTTTCCCAGTGAATTCCCAAGTACATCTCCTGGTTCACACTCTGGAAGGTGCTGAGCTCTCCCCCTCCACCCCATTTCCCAGAGCATTAACAGGAGTGAAAGGGGCTCAGCACCACACTAAAGGTGCTCAGATCCTTGAAGGACTTGCCCCTGGAGAGGGGATAACAGCCAAAGTATGAGATAAGATAAAGAGATTTCCAGCAAGAAAAACAAGGCCAGAAAGGTTCCTCTGAAAACACAGGACCAATTTCACTTTTTAAATAATTCAGCTAAGTCCAAGAGAACAACTTGCCCTGCAGAATTAGAAAGGATTCAAAAGAGAAAGCAAGCATTCAGTGCGAAAGAGCTGGGGGGGGGCCGTTCCCTGGGAAGGTGCCGCACAAAAATAGATGTAAATCTGCGAAGGCTGTTATGTTGAAGTAAATCTGAAGTAACTCTGTTGTCTTCAACAGGGTTACTTCTGGCTTACACCAGCATGACACAGATTAGCATATCGTTTTGGGTGTGCTCGTTACGATAAGCATTCGCTGAGGGAAGTTGAGTGTTGGAGCTACATTTTGCAACGGGCAAGTGCCTGAGTTTCAGGTAAATTCTGTCCGCGTCCTCTTATCTCCTTCCTCCCGCCAGATCTAAGGTGTGCTGAGACTGCAAGTTCTTTGCTTTATCGCCCTCACAAACCTGAACTCTGCTCTGGCCCCACCATGGTAATAAGCTGTTATGAATATTGTATAACTGTTGGCAGGAGGAATCTGGCATGCAGAGCGGGAGCAATTCACGCGGGGAAGGGAGGGGAGGAGAAAAGGGGTTGACACAGCCATCCCTGCAAATTAAAGTAGGAGTAAATAAAGCAATTAAACAATATTCAATCAAGAGATGCAAACTGAACAGTGGGAAAGGCCCGCACAACCCATCTCCCTTGCAAATGTAATCCAATTTATGAACTGAATCTCATTTAATCGCTTGTAGCCAAGCTGTAGCTACATATAGAACAAAATAATAGCGGAAGCGCAAAATAAAATAGCAAGATGCTCTTGAAAGAGTAGGCTAATTTCTCCATCCATAAGGATTTCAAAGCGCTGCGTGTTTGTTAAAGTATTTGCAGGGGGAGAGCCCTGTATCTGAAGTTGCTTAGGAGCTGAAGGGCTCACTCAGGGTGTAGAAACTCCTGAGGAGCGGAGACCGGAGTTTACAACCCAGCTGTGACCAGGACCCATGGCACGGCTCTGCGAGAGCTGGCAGTGGGCAGCGAGCTGCCATCAATATCACGCAGGCCACATCGCGTGGGCCAGTGGCCATGTCGCCCAGGGAGCAGGAAAGAGGCCGCCATCGCCTTCGCCTGGTCCCGCTGCTGGTGGCGTGGCCCCACACGCCTTCTCCCACAGCACCCTGTGAGGGAGACGGCAGCGGCAGGCGTGATTTTGGTGTTGTTCACCCAGTTTTAGGGCGGGGGGAGCTGCCATGTCACGGACGGGGTGCGCGCCCCTCACGCCAAGCTGCCGGCCTCGGAGCGTGTGCCATGTGGAGGCAGCACTGGTGGAATCCCGATCCCAATCACCGCCTCCCGCCACCGGCAGACGCCAAACGGCCTGTTGGTTTCGACGGACCGAGGCCAAACGGGGGCCCTGTTACATCCCCGGCACCGGGAGGCGGCGGCTCCGCACTACTTCACCTCCCGTGAGCGGAAGAATCCCGCGAGCGCGTGGCAAGATCGCGACGCGTTCCCTCCGCCCCGCTCTTCCCGCCCGGCCTAGAAAGGGTTTCCGGTGAGCCGCGTCGCGCTCGTAGTATCCGTGCGCCAGCCGAGAGCGCTGAGGAGACGGCGGCCATTTTGTTCAGTGCTGGGTCTCCGCTGAGCCCGGCAGTCGAGGGGGGGGGGCGGGGGGGGGAAGAGAGAGAGGGAAGAAGGAGAGCGGGGAGGAGAGGAGGAAGGGGAAAAAACGAGACAGAACGAGGAGAAAAGCCGGGCCAGCCAAGCAGCGAGCGGAGGGAGGGGAGCTGCGGGGAGGGGTCCGCCCGGCCGCTGAGAGGCGATGGCGGATATAGACAAGCTCAACATCGACAGCATCATCCAACGGCTGCTGGAGGGTGAGGGTCGGGGAAGGCACGGGGCGGATGGCCGGGGGGTGGGTGGCGGCCGGTCCGGTCCCCGGGAGCCTACCCGTGTGGCGCCTCAGCGGTATTATCTCAGCCGCTGCCGCGGGGGCTGCACCGTATCCTGCCCGCCCGCTGGGGTTGGGGGACCAAAATGGAGGGGCGCCGCGGCGCTTTGTCTTCCCGGGGCTCTCCGCCTTTGCCCTTCAGCCCCAACTTTTCCCTCAGCCTTTGTGTTTCCCAGTCGTTCCTGCCCTCTGCGCTCCCGGTGCGGTGTTGGGACCAGCCGGCTGCCCCTCTTCTCCTCCCCTGCAGCTCGAAGGGGATGCTTAATTTCGTATTATTTTAGTAGGAAAGTGGGTTTTTTAAAAAAGGGGTCTCTCTTGCCTTCCAGTCACGTACATGGGGTCTGTGCTTGCCTGGGTAGTCGCAGGGCTCTGGAAATAAGACCTAAGCGCGTTTAAAGAGTCTGTTGAGACAGTTTTTCAGAAAGTCGGGAGGACACTCACATGGGTTTCAGGATATCCCGGTTTTAGCTTTGATTAGCTGCTTGCGTTAGTACTACCATAGGACTTTTTGGCTCTTAATTTCTGACATACGATGGCGTTTTAGGTATGAATAGGTTGGGTTGTTTTTTTGGTTTTGTTTTTTTTTTTTTCAGGCAGTCTGTGGAAAGGCTTATTGTCTTGTATTGTTAGTGCTTTGGGTTGAAATGAGTTGCATAGGAGTTCCTAAATCAAAGGAAAACCTAGAAGTTGCAGGGGGTGTCTTCAGCATCATCCCTTCAGTTGGTCGGCACCAGACTAGAATTGATGACTGATCTTTCTTAGGGCAAAAGTGAGAAGTAGCCAATGACAAATTTTCTTCCAGGCATCAAGGAAAATCATAATTATTCAGAGAAAGAAGCAAGCCTGATCCAGCCTCATTTCATGTATATTGGGGCAGGCACTTACGCTTGAAGAGCTTGGTCAGGGATTTAACTTTTTTCCATTTGGCACAAAGTCATCTGAGATGTTGCTGAGACAAATGGTGAAGAAATGTCTTTCAGCTGTATTACACCCTTACAAGATTTTGCTTGTGTAATGGCTTGGATAGCAAAAGGTCAGGCAGAGGAACAATAGTGCTACTCTAGAAATTACTTGGAGCTAAAAATCCTATAGATGTATTATGAGATTATTGAACTAGAATAAATAAAAGTAAATATGGCTTTTCTTCTGATGCGTTTTGGGTTTTGCCTGTTACCAATTTAAACTGCCCTGGTTTAAATTACTTAAAGGCTTCCCTTCATAAATTTAGACCAGGATTTTTCTGAAACTCTAGTAGTATGATTTGTAGATGTCAGGTCCTGTATGTCCTGTGTTTGCTGACATATTAATATGTGCTCAGTTTTACTGCAGGTATTAGTTACAATTCTTAACATGATTTGCCCTAGTGTAACTAGTGCAATTTTCTCAAAGTGTAAGTTCTTAATATCAGAAACATGGAATAATTGTAGAAAGAGATTGGAATGATTTTGAATTATATCTCTTGTTTAAAATTTCAAAAAGTAATAAGGTGTACTATGCTAATATGTTTTTGCCCAGCTTATATCAATATTATATTTTTGGAGGCGATGAGAGTTCATAAATCAGGCTTCAGAAGGTTTACTGACAAGATCTTTTAAGAGGTGGTTTGTGCAACTAAAGATACTAGTTGGGGTTGCATCAGCTGCCAGAACGGAAATAAAATTGTTTTCTTTATTGACATTTCAGTTGGTATTTTGGATTTCTTGAGGCCATGGTTGCCTTTCAATATTTAAAACAATAACCAATGTTAGTAACCTATGCTAGTGCTTTTTTTATTGCTTATTAAATGACTGTTGTAAACATCTTAACCAGACAGAGAAATGATTGACCTTTGTGTCAGTCTGTCATTTTTATACTTTTTTTGCAGAAAGGGCAAAATGATACTGCAATTTAACAAACACTGCATTTTTGATAGAGTGCTAAATTGTGTGAATTACTGTGCAAATGCCATTCTATTCTGTTTAGCATTTATTTGACTCATCCTTTCCCTGAAATTATTAGTCTGGCTAGGTAGGTAGCAGGGCTGAACTTCCAAGGTGGAGAGCTGCATGGTGTTCAGTGAAGGAAAAAAAAAAATCTGAAGTATGTGTAAGGCTTCTCACCCTGTTTAGGCTTGCAGCAAACAGATTCTTTTTCAGTGCTGTTCTGGTAAAACTACATAATGTTAGTTCTACAAAATCTGGAGTGCCCATACCAGAACTCTGTTTTAAGTGATACCCTTTACAGACAGCATTGCACATAGATTAAGATCATACTCAAGCATGAAAACACTGCAAAATCTGTTTTAATAATCAGCTCACAAACCAAGTTGCCCAAGTTCTTGTGCAAGCTTTATTTTTTAGAGCAATGTGGTATTTCAGTACAGCTGTCTCTAAACTGTATACTTGCATGTTTTTACAACAGATAACTTTAGGTGATTTTGCTAGTAAAATGCAAAGGATATGAGTGGGGGAGATTATCCCGTTTTAAAGGTAACAAACCCAAGTATTAAGGAGATACTTCATTAAATACTTCAAATCAATGAGAAAATATAGTTAAACAGGTATTTATGTTTTATAATGTGCCTTAGCATTGCACCATTGGAGGAGACCAGGAGCGATGCCAGTAGTGAATGTAGTCTGATGTTCGAGGTAAAGTGAAGTGGTTAAAGGATGAGTAATAAATTACACTCACTTTTGTTCTTAATATATAGGGTATTAATAATGTATTTGTGAGGGGGGTTTACTTGATTTCTATACTGCCTTCTCTGATCGAATTACATTTGTACTTTTCCCCCAGATAGTTGATATTTTCCCACCTACCTTAGGCTAGTTAGCTGCAATTATTAGTTTGTTTTTTAAAAGGCCTGGAAGTATATATTTAGCTTATCATTCTAAGGTAAATATTTGAAGAGTCTTTCTTGCTCCAAATGTTTATAGTTCAGAGCCATTTGGCATTAAAATGTCACAAAAAACATTTTTCAGTAACATTGTTCTCAACCTTGGAAAGCAGTTCAATGAAAACATTAAACATACTGTTTTTTTTTTTTTTGCTGTAATTGAATTTATATTTGTTACCCTCTTTAAATTTCATGAGTACAGGTTGTCTAACTTTGTCACTTTTAGTAACTGTGCTAACAACAATTTTCACAAGAATAAGACTTCTAAAGTATAGTAAATTACAGTATCCTGAACTGAGTATTGGAATGTTTCCCAAGTGTCCTTGATAGTGGATAAAGGCTCACGTATTTATGGAACTGGCTCACTTTACTGAGCAATAAGAAGGGACAAACATGAGAGCGAATTGTTCTCCTCCTAGTAGTATTGTAGGCAGTAACTTAATGGTTCTGAGCTTGCAGCTGTGTGTGTCTGCTAAGTCAAAACTGCCAATAGACAAGAAGATGCTAGAAAAGTTCCCTGGAAGGTGAAAAATCACTGGCATCTGTATGATCATAGAAGAGGTTCCAGGAAATGGCAGATTTCCTGCTCAGCTCCAGGTAAAAAATGAGTGACAAATCCCGAGATGCCCTGAGCGTGAGCATGGCTTCCTTTCCGTGTCATGTCATCTGGTGTTCCTATAACGCGAGCCCATTATCGCTTTCCTTCATCTAGTGGTTGGCAGCTTTTCACAGATAAGTAGGGTCTGGCTTGAAAGTGGAGCTCATAGTAACATCTAGAAAAGAAGATTGAAATTTATTAGTCTTACCGTGGTACTGATAAATAACGGGGATAAATAACACAATTCCAGTATACATAAGTGGAACCCAAGCTGAAATACGTTTCTGAGAATGTTTTGTGCTGCAGCCTCTGCAAACACCATTAAAGAGAAACTAAGTAGTGAATAGAGGCTACTGTGGCTAAGTCCATGGGAGGCTAGAATGGTGGTAGCCATTCGGAAAGCTGAAATCCTGGTTAGTGCACTAAAATCAGCAAAAAGACTGCAAATCCTCAAACTTTCCTGTTTATACACCCACAGATTTCTATTCCCAGTAAAGCCTGTTGTATGGCTGTCAAGGAGATAGTCTCTCTTATTTGCTTTAAATGGGGAAAGAGGATCATACAGTTATTAAAAGTAGTTGAGTCAAAGAGTATGGATAAACTTTTGCTGGCAACTGCGAAGGCTATTTCCTACAAATACAGTTCTCCTATTTTTTTTTTTTTTTTACCTTTCTGCTAAAGGTCTTCAGACCCTTCCTTGGGTCTGAAGGCTTGCTTTCTGTTTGGTTTCATGCACTGAGATGAGTCTGTCTGATGGTCGCCAATGTTAGTCTGAAATGTGGTCAGATTTCACATGTTGATGAGTTGGGATACTGTTAAGTTTCTAATAGTCAGGCAGCACTTGACCTCAAACCATATAATTTTCCATACTTTGTGTAGCTTAATGCTAATTGTTTCCTGCTGTGTTGCAGCAGTTTCTAATAATGGGAAATAGGAGCTCTGCATTTGAAAGATGAGGATTAGATTCCTATCACTGCTGTGCATTCAAATAAGTCAGTTAAATTCTGTGTTTGTTGCCCAGTCAGTGAAGTGGAGGAATTTGTCATCTCTGAGTATTTGTGATTGCGTGTGTACCTGTTGCTATGTAGCTCTCCCCAGTGTGGAAGTATGTTACAAGATAAAGATTTTGCAGTTGTGCAGAATCTTATGTTTGATACTACGGCTGTGAACTTCTGTCATACTAAAAAGTAGACTAGAACCTTTTCTTTTTGGAGGCTTGGGCACTGAGGAATTGCTTTTCAGTTTCAATTTTGAATTTGAAATGATCTGATCAAAGTTGGTGGTGCCTGCAGTAAAGTAAAACCTTTTTTACATCAACCACCACTTTCAAGTTATTTATTCCCTTTGTGCCTATGGTGCAAAACTGTCATCAGGAGCTGCTGAAAACAAGATTAAAACCAACCTGCATTATTTTTGGAAATGTCTCTAGGTTTGCAGACATCATAATAATATGAAATATGGTAAAACTGAGAGACTTAAGCCAAATGATTAACTGACCTGCTGACAGACTATTTTCTCTAAAACATTTTCTATATAAGAACTTGATTCTAGCTCTTCAGTTTACAGCATTTCAACTGCTTCTTTAATATAATACTGAAGGAAAACTACAAGTTTAGATCACTGAAATTTCAAATATTTTTGAATTCTCAAATGTTTTTGAATACTTTCCTAAGTGTCTGTCCCTTTCATATTAACCTTGAATGAGGTAATATATTCAGCTTTGTAATAGCATTTGCCCTCATTAAAGGATTGTGTGGCACCAAACTGAATATTGGAAACTGCTAGCAATGGGATGTTGTATAGAAGTCTGTTTTACTCTACATGCATGTGATCTTCTGACTGTTGTACGTTCTAGGTCACACAGTCCTTCACCAGTTTGTCCTTCACAGAGAAGCGTATAAAAGTTATCCCCGATGTTGTGTGCTGTTTTAACTCCTGGCATCTGCAGCTGCACTTGGTGCTGGCTGCACGGAGAATGCCAGGCTGCCGTTAAGCCTCCTTTCCCCCTCTGCTGGGCTGCTGTTGTACTGCACTCACCCCCTCTTGATAGTACACTTTCATTTTAGAGGGTTGGGATCTGTCATTGCTTACCAGCAGTTTTCCTCTTTGTCTTGGAAAGCAGCGCTAATTTTAATAGTTGGAACCTGTGTTCAAGTCAGTACCTCTGCAGCAATCATCCAGGCTCCAGGAAGGGATCTTCCCTAGAGTCTTTTCCATCCAGTGGAGAGCTTATTTTTCTAAAACTTCTCGAACTTGTACAGTGGACAAGATTTTACATGTTAGAAGTCTGCCCAGACTGGACATTGAAATTCAAGCTCTAGAAAAATGATGTTTAAGAACAGGAGTATCTCTGCCTAAGAGAGGATGAGAATACATTACTGTCTGGAAATAGTGCAGCAGTCTGTTGAGACAAGATATAAATAAAATATTATTTGAAATGGGCAGACTTTTTTCCTCAGCTGATTAATTTTTAGCTTGTTCTGCTGTCAGTTCCAGACTGTCATTTCTGAGAGGTTATTTTTTTATGCATTGAAAGAACAAATGTGCACATACAGTACTATTGAGCTGCTCTTTTGACTTTGTGACCAAGCTGCCAATTAGTATCGTACTGTCTGATCTCTACAAGCTGCCTTGTTTTGGTCCAAAACAGAGAAAAGCAATTGTAAACACAATATATTTTTCATAGTATATTATTTTTGCCTTTCTCAGTGGGACTAAGGAACTTGAAGGCTCAGTCAGAGAAACCTTTTAAGAAGTCATTCAGACTGAACATCCTGTGTTTTCTTGCCAGCTTTTTCATTGTGGATGAGAAAATCCTTGCACTAAAAATACAGATTTCTCAAACCAACATACACGTCTGCGTATTTGATTCTTTTGAAGCCAAAAATATTTTTTTTCCAGCTTTTCAGGATATATAGATCAATGTTAGAAGAAACGGAATGCTCTTGTTTGTTCTGTGCCAGTTCCATGTTGGATGAAAGTGGTCAAAATGTCACTGGCAAGGCAGTAGGCTACAGAACTGAGTCATTGTCCTGTTCTTTCATCCTTCTGGTGTCTGTGCTAGTGAGTTTGTAAACTGCAACAAAGCATCATTTTATCTTGTCATGGTTTTCTGCAAGCAGATGACTAAAACTGCATGAAGATTATACTGGTTCAGTAAAAATGTATTGGAGAAACATAAGAAATTTGTATCTGAAACAGTCAGTTTTCAGATTTTCATTTAATCTTCAGCAAAAATGAATGCATATGCTTTATTCATGAGCTTTAGTGACTCAGTGCATTACATAGTCTGTATAATATTTTATGGTTTTTAATTTATGGATCTGAGATACAGGGTTTGGTTTTATCAATTTCTAACAAGATCAAATCATGCAAAGTTAGATTTTTGTCTTCTCAAAACTAAATACAAGTATATTGTATTATCTCAGAAACAAATGTTATTTGTAAAATTTAAGAGTAGGGGAAAATTTAACATTTATAATTCAGTCAGCTGATCACTTTATTCTATAAATTTCTGTTCCTTTATTGCTTCTGGATATTTGGCATCTTGAGTAACTTGCTCATTGCTCAGGAGTGTTTGGAAAATTACTGTATGGATGAAAAAATTACTGTGTGGATGAAAAGCCTCATGCATGATAAACTGCTGTGACAGATTTAACTTCCATTTATATGCTTCATTACTTCAAATATTTTAATGGAAGACATGAAATTTAGTGGTAATTCCAGTGTTGCCATGTAATGTCAGTGTTGAGTGATAATACATAAGCAGTGAATAAAAAAGGAGCATGTATTGTTTGAAAGATAACATTATTAAAGCCATGACTTGACCTACAATGAATGTAATGCCACTGTCAGCACACACTGCAGTTTGAACTAAGGTTGAACTTTGAAGGTTGTCTGAGGACGGGTGGTGTGTTTCAGGGTATTGTCAATGATTCTTCAAAAGAATCAATGTCTGTAGGGCAGGCTGTGCCACCATGACTAGGGTCTGTGACGGGGCTCAGTATGCAGGGTAGAATTGTTTTGGATTAACACTGGACATGCTGGTAGAGATTCGGTCCAGTGATACTTGATTTTATGGGTGGAAATTACACAGTCATCATTTCATTCTTGGTCTAGATAAGATGCATGCTGACTGAACAATAGTTTCTACTCTTGTTCAGAGACTTGCACAAAAGTAGGTATCATCTGTGCTAATGAGAAATTGTAATCCTTTTGGAACACAACTACGTTTGTTCTTACCCTTCTTAAAACATGCCCCCTGACCCTCCCTCCATCGCCTTTCCTACTGCAGTTCTCACTTCTTGATTTCATATAGTGCAAGGTCCACAGCGACAGTACAGAGATTTGAGTCATCTCTAGCTTCCAGATTTCTCACTCAGAGGTTAAACAATATCAAGGGAGTTAGACTGAAATGGAATCTAAAAAGTTAGGTATTCAGGAAGATAATATTGTGTCGGTTCTTATATTTAGGTTCAGGGCTTGTCACTTGCTTTTTTGTTTTGCAACAAAAGACTAAGATTTTCTGGATAAGAGCATAGATTTTTCAGTTGCAATGCGGGACAAGTTGTATGCAGGAAGTCACCCATCTAGGCAACAATACTACTATAGTGGTTTTGTTTCTGAAGATGTCAGAGTGTTTCCAGGTATCTGAGGCTAAAGTTTTGAGATAATTTGGCTTTGTGGCTAAACCAATGGGTTATGTTGCAGAAAATGACTGCTCTTATTCCATAATCTTACTTGAATTTGCTACAGGTTGTTTTTTTGCTTCAGCCTTATCAGTGTTCTGTGTTGTCAGCCGTTTTGACATCAAATAAAAATATAATAAACTTCACCAGTAATGGCATAATCACAGTTTTTTATTTAGTTTTATCCTAACCCTGATAAATGCTGTTGTATGCAGTTTAGCTATAGTTACAACATTGCTGCCATAGAAATGTGCTTTGTTTTTGGGCAAGAGAAATGGGTGGGAACAGGGATAATAAATTGAGGGAAAGCTGTGCTGGTGGCTGTGGAAACTTGTTCAGGCCAAGCTGGTGTCCTTGTCCGGACTAGGAAAGCAAACTCCAATGGGGATTCAGGGGGCTAGCTACTGTGAATTGTTGCAGTGGGGGAGGTTGAAGCTGGGTGATTGGGGGTGTGGGGGGGAAGTGGTCTGAGGCTGGGAGATAGATCTTCTACTAGTTTCTCTTCTACTGTGCTCAGAGGTAATGATAGAGAGCTGTTTTGTCATTGTGATTCAAAATCGTTTCCTTAGGTATAGTCCTTACCTTCCAATCACGTACTTATTTTTCTTCCATGTTTGCTAACTACCGTGTAGAATGGGGCAGTACAGTATTTATTGGTACTGCAGTCTTGTTTGTTCAGATACTGTCTTGGGCAAGGTTATATGATAGTTTAGGGAAGCTTTCACATTTGAGCTATGATGTTGGTGATTAAATGGGAGACTTCCTTTTCTCATGTTCAGACAGCTTTGCGGAGAACAAGTGTAGAACTACTTTTTTTTTTTTTTTTTTTTTTTAATAAATGTATATATATAGTCACATTATCCAAGATGGGTTTTATAACTAAATAGAACAACACTGGTGCTATTTAAAATGTGACATTTAACGGGGGAAGTGTTGAGCCGTGAATTCTGCTAAATGAAAGTAACATACAACTGAAACAGAACACACTATGCTTTCTGTGGTAACACGGAATTGCAGTTTCATCTCAGCAGACTGATATTACCCTGTTATCTTCTCATTCTGTGTTACAGTGGCATTTAGTCAGGCTCTTAAAATAGCACTAGGGATATTGTTGATTTTGATTACTGACTTCTGACTCCTTCCAACAGTGCGAGGATCAAAACCAGGCAAAAATGTCCAACTTCAAGAGAATGAAATTAGAGGACTGTGCTTAAAATCCAGAGAAATCTTTCTGAGTCAGCCTATTCTACTAGAACTTGAAGCTCCACTGAAAATATGTGGTGAGTATTGTGATTTTGGTTTGATGCTTGTTGGGGATAGTGGGGTGTCAGGTAAATTCAGACCTTAAGCAGAGAACAAATGCCAGATGCTACTTTCACCTACTAACAGTGGAACTAGTAAATGGTTGTATCAAAAAGGAAAAACCTGGCTGGATGCTTAGGGTGAAGGAGTGGGGAGGAGGTAACAAACATACAAATTGGAGTGGGGACCAAAATAATCCAACCCCAAAAAGTAACTGGTCCAGTCTCACGAGGTCACTTGGGGAAGGGATTCACATGAAGTTTAGGAGGGGAGCTTTTGTATCAATGAAAATTGGTGGCCCAGTTATGACTGAACAGGGAGAAGCAAAGAACGGCAGTGGGTTATTGTAGCTGCTATTCAGAGATGAACACTGCTTTGACGATATTCTAAAATCCTGCTGGAAACTTAAATTACTGTACTGTTTCTTGGAATTGCTTTCTGGTTTGGTTTCACCATACTTGTACACAGTAGTGCTCATTTTGCACACACATACATGTCTATGCTAAAAGAATGAAGAATGTCAAAATAACAGCCTCAATAAACGCACTTGTAAAAGCTTCCAGCAAACAGTATTTTATCTTATTCTAACACTGAGGATTTACTTCAGATTGAAGTAGCATGTTTGATATTAGTAACATTGGTAGTCTAAAATCATGATTTAGTGTTCTGCTTGTCAAAAGCAAAGCCATGATTTAAAGCAAAAGCAGAAATACCAATTTCATTTTTGATAGAACTTCACTACTAGAATTTGAATTACTGAGTGTTTCAAGAAAACACCAGAGATGGTACAAAGGAAAGCAAATTCCCCAAGTGCTCAGTTTTCCATCAGTATTACTAATTCTGTGTGAAAATACCAAGAATGAGGGAAAGGTTTGTGATCTCACAGTCACTAGTCAAGTAAAGGATTTGACTGGATGTCAGATTTTCATGTGAACATGCAGTTGCTTTCTTGGAATCTTGATTTTGTTTTACACACATGAATATTTTGACGTAGCTACTTACTTCATCTTAGTGCAGTTAACCATTGCACTAAATAGATAACAACGTTCAGAATGTGATAATTTTATTATAAAGTATACATTAAGATAAACTGTAATTTTTAATTATGTTGTAGGTAGTATCTAACTGCAAGCTTTTTTTTTCTTTCTGAAGTGTCATTCATTTGTTCTTTCTCTAGAGTCAATCAGAGAATGTAGCACAGGATCACTTAGGTGTTTCTGAATGCTCTTTACAGGTGACATCCATGGACAGTACTATGACTTGCTTCGACTCTTTGAATATGGAGGTTTTCCACCAGAAAGTAACTACCTGTTCCTTGGTGATTATGTTGACAGAGGAAAACAGTCTTTAGAAACAATTTGTCTTCTGTTGGCCTACAAAATTAAATACCCAGAGAATTTTTTCCTCCTCAGAGGGAACCACGAATGTGCCAGCATCAACAGAATTTATGGGTTTTACGATGAATGTAAGTAATAGATGTGTGCATCTTTGGCTTGGGAAAGCAGGGTAGGAAGTGCTAGCATTTCAGTGTTGGATAATTCTTTCCTAACTTGCAGTGCCCTTTGTGTGCTTCCTGGGGGCCCGTGGCCTATTTTAGGAAGGGAAATGTGTCCTTTCCCTGATGATGTTGGAGTCTGATCCTCACAGTACAAAGCAGCATGCGAGTGGATAATTTTAGTTATTGGCTGCTATGTTAATTTAGTTCTTGCTGGTACATATTGTTAAATTTCTTCAGATAAGGTCATCTGTTGAAATATGAGATAATTTTACTTGATGTGCTTTACAAGAGTTCACCTCTGTTTCATTCCTCTGAGGGAAGATGATGATAATGTATACGTGGGTTATAACTTAACTTGGAGACTGGGCTGGTCTTTACTGTAGTTACGCTACACTGCTATCAATCGACTTCATGTTAAGACCTGTAACTTCATAATGTTTAAAAAAAAGAAGACTCTGCTGTTCTCTGGATGCAGTCCTGTTTTATTGTGTGCTGTTGCTTTGGCCAAAACCATGTTTCTTTTCATAAATGGGACAAAGGTGTGAAGCCTTCCGTGTGCTGTGTGCTTGGTTTGAGCACCAGATACTTGCTTTCTCAGAGGTAGTTTCAGCTGCAGAACTTGAACTGTTGTGTCAGCCTTTTAATGAAACAATGTGCTTGTATTTGGCATCGTGCAGTTAAGTGACTGCAGAGGGCATTAAGGTCTGTTGTGATGGAGACCACACATAGACCTTACCCCTAACATAACAAGTGATTTTGTTGTGAAGTAGAAGTGTATGTTTGCGTTTCAAAGGATGTGACTTAAGAAATCCAGATAATGCAGAGGAGATTAAACTGTTAAATTAATTGTGCACTGAAGCATTCTCACAACTTGTGTTGAGGGACATACTTGGCTTGTAGCTTACAAGATGTACTCTCCATGTCTCATTCTCCTTCAGTGAGGAAACAAAAGATGTGTGGTATTTGAGTTGACTCCTCTGAGATTAATCACAGGCTTAGTCATATTGCAAATATCAGGGTTCATATCTGTTGAGAGAGTCCCTTTGAAAGTAAAACTAGCAGTTTCATTTTTCAGTCCTGTTTCTTTGGCTAGAGTGATTTTATGTGGTAAAGCACTAGCACAAGTTTAAAGAAAATTTGCTTTCCAAGAATTGCTGTCTTTCCCAAAGAAGATAGCAAATGGCAAGATTTTCTGAAATGGATCACATTCTCCAAGGGATAATTTCACAAAGCAAAGGTGGGACTGGAGAGTCTGGCTGCCAGCAGTGGAATGTCATTCTGTTGAACAGACCTGTACTGTCCTCAGAGCCTCTTCAGAGCGCCCTGTCACACTGAAAGACACCTTTGCACCTTTCTTACAAGTGATAAAGTATGTCAGTGGGTATCAGAGAAGATAAATTGTGTATACCCTGTAACGCTAACTTCTTGCAAGCCTTAGCAAACTTACGGCAGCCGTGTTAGGTTGGTTGTAGTTATGTTAAAGCATATTGACTGTTTTTTCTTCAAAATGTCTTCTAGGTAAGAGAAGATACAATATTAAGCTGTGGAAAACCTTCACAGACTGTTTTAACTGTTTACCAATTGCAGCTATTGTGGATGAGAAAATATTCTGCTGTCATGGGGGTAAGCAACAGTTCCTTTGTTGATATTTGAGAAACTGTAATACTCCAATATCAGTCATGTCAATGTCTTGTTTACGTTGCTGAAGCTTCAAAACTTCAGGGATTTTTCTCTGCCTTGGATAATGTATGAGATAGGGTTGAGCTTGATTAGTGTCTGTTTTGTGAGTCATTGAGCAGGTAGTTTTGTAACTTCAGATGCAATGATCTGCTTTTCCTTTTATACCAAAAGACATATTTAGTAGCTTCCCTTTCTGAATAAAGAATCTGCATAGGTTTTTTTACACTTACATGGCTAGGAGTTTTATGTACATTCTGAAAACATGTTTTCATAGAATGGTTTGGGTTGGAAGGCACCTTTAAAGATCGTGTAGTAGAATCCACCCTGCCATGGGCAGGGACATCTTTTACTAGATCGGGTTGTTCAAAGCCTCATCCAGCCTGACGGGTTTGGAGATTCATTTGTAGAAATTGGCTCTGTTATGTTGTGTGATACCTGCTTCATGCAACTTTTCAAAGTAGTAAAATACATCTTGTACCTTAAATGTTTTATCACTTGTGAGTAATGACAGTTGCCTGGGGAGACCCACGAGTGAAAAATGGTATAAGATCTCTGATACTGTATTTCATTTTACTAGGCCTGATCAGTAAAATAAACGTACCCCGTGATTTCTAGTGTTAATGCCTCTTTTACTTAACAGCTCTCTTAACAGACACTTGCAAAAACTTACAGTGAGATTATTGTAATCCTGTCAAATGTGGAAATGGCTCTGCTTATCTTGCTTCCAGTAAATCTTCTAGAAAGTGACTTCTGTTACAAAAGCTTTAAAACAAATGCTGGATTAAAAAAATGTCAGTTAACATTGCCATTGAACTACATAAAATAGCAGTGGTGAATCGGTTTGAATACAAATTATTTTTGTCTTGAATTAAAACCTCAGTCTTGCAGAGCAAAGTTGGACTAAAATGGGAATTGCATATCTTAACTCTGACCAGGTTTGTCACCAGACCTTCAGTCAATGGAACAGATAAGACGAATTATGCGCCCCACTGATGTACCAGATCAAGGTCTGCTTTGTGATCTCCTGTGGTCTGACCCTGACAAGGACGTCTTAGGGTGGGGTGAAAATGATAGAGGAGTGTCCTTCACGTTCGGCGCTGAAGTGGTTGCGAAGTTTCTCCATAAACATGATTTGGATCTCATATGTAGAGCTCATCAGGTATTTTAATTTTGTCCATTAAACGACAGAATAATCTAGGTTGAGAGGGAGCTGTGGTTGGTCCAACCCTGCACACCTGTACTCAACACAGGCCAAACTGAGGGTCTTGTCCAGCCAAGTTTTAAATATCTGCAAGGATTGAGATTCCACTGTCTCTGAACAACTTGTCCCAATGTTTAACCACCCTCATAATGAACATTTTTCTTAATACACATAAACTGTGACTGATTCCTGAACAAGATTGTCTTGAATCTTAAGAGAATTCTGGTTTACTCATTGCTAATGGACTCTGTTGTTGAACTGGATCCTGCAATGGTCTTCCTGTTCTGTTGTAAAAGTTTGGAACTCAGGCTCGTTGGATGTAGCCAGTTTTTCAGCTGCTGGCTGTGCTAAAGCTGCTTTGCGCCTTGGCAGGAAGAAGTTGTCCAGTCTAATATTTCTGCTTTTTTCTCTAAAGGTTGTTGAAGATGGATATGAATTTTTTGCAAAAAGGCAGTTGGTAACTCTCTTTTCTGCCCCAAATTACTGTGGAGAATTTGATAATGCGGGTGCCATGATGAGTGTGGATGAAACTCTAATGTGCTCTTTTCAGGTATGATATCTGAAGATTTCACCTCCTAGTTAGTGTAGTCACACTTTAAATTTACTCTAGTTTGAGTTGATACTGTACTGTTAGAAAACCATAATGCTTGTTTCAAATAGATCTTTACAGATACTGTATGTAGACAGGGCTGTGTTTCCACTCATGTCTTCAAAAATGTGAGAAGCTCTTGCTGGTGTGAGTCGTTGAACTGTTTTACCCTGGAATTAAATCACTCAAGCAAAGCTGTCAGCTGTTAGCCCGCTTCCGTTGGCATGGGCTGAATGGGCCTGTCAGAGCTCTGAGCAGGAAACACATCTATTTCTTGGCACGTTTATGACTTGTCCAGATGACCTGTATGATGCCTTTACGAGTGAATTAATTGTTTGATTGTAAGAAAGCTAAAACTTTTTGCTAAATAACTGAACTATTTTTTCAGATTTTGAAACCTGCAGAGAAAAAGAAGCCCAATTCCAGCAGACCCGTAACGCCTCCCAGGGGTATGATCACAAAACAAGCAAAGAAATAGTCACTTTGGCACTGCCTTGTTGGGACTTGTATTATAGTATATAATCTCCATTTTTAAAACTGTAATGTGTACTGTTCAGCTTGCTCAAAATAGATAATGTGTTTGTGGTTTTCCTTTTGATTTGATGAATGGCATTTGCTGGTTGTAACAGCAAATGAAAGACTTTTCTCCCTCCCAGGAAAAGAGTTTTAAACTTTCCTTTCGTTGGTGTTACAGCTGTACACTCCACAGCATCGTACCCCGTCCTTGTGGGTAATTGTACAACTGACTTTCCGGATCTGGACAATGAGTAGTGTAAATGCTTGTTTTCTTCTTTAGGATCTAAAGAGGGCACTGGTGTGCTGTGAGAGTAGAGATCTGTTACTGTCAGAAATTACATACTGTTTATACAAACCACTGTGAACTTTTTTTACGTTAAATTTTATTTTAAAGGGATTGCTTTTCTTTTAATGTCTTGTCACGTACACGTTAGTTTTATTGCTGTCAACATTAGAAATAACCTTCAACCTTGCCAGCATCACTGGTATGATGTATATTTAATTCAGACACACATCCCTCTCCGTATACTTCAAATGACAATTAAAGCCATTATTTTAAGTGTTTGTGTCTCTTTCCTGAAGCCAAAGTTTGCTTAGAAAACCGTTTGTACATGACCCACCACCCTGAGTTGGCAGAGCTTTCCATTCACGCCTTCCTCCTGCAGATAAGAGGAAGTCCTGACTTGAAATAGCGAGTAGAACTGCTGTGCTGTTTGTTCTATTCCTGGTCAAAGTAAACACAGTTTTGGACAGTTTCCGTATGGTCGATCGAGTGGACCGTTTCATGGTGGCGTCAGTCCTGTGGCAGCCCAGGACAAAGCTGGAAGTTACAGAAATGGTTCTAGATCTTCCTGAATGGTTTTGTGCATTTTAGCCTAAAGACTTTGTTCTACAAAGAAGCCTAGAAACTAGCTTGATAAGCCAACCGGAGGTGATCTTGATCACCGGTTTATATAAATCTCTCACAGAATCTTGTTTTTTAAAAACTGTTAATCTTTTTTGAACAGATAACAGTGTACAATACCATGTAGTGAAAATCACTTATTAAATGAAGAAATTGTTAAATCTTCTCAGTGTCAGTTTATCACAACATATACACTACTGCTAGCAGAGGACCTGACTTAGAGAAATAAATTGTTCTGGAAACCCACAAATTCTTGGTTTCGATTTGTCTAAGGTATGTTTTTAAACAGGAGTGTTGGATTCCAGATCCTATTCTGGAGCTTTAATACAGATATTGCCCTTAACTCCCCGCAGAGGGGGCGGCCGGGCAGCTCCCGTGGCACTTCCCGAGCAGGGTTTGCCATGAATACCAGTACTGCTTTGTCGGGAGTCTGAGCTTAAGTGGGTCGTAGCTGAGGACACGACCAGTTTCCTCTGGTTCTTAATTAAATAACTAAAATCTTGACGAAGGAGGATAGTTCAGTAAACTTCACCGCTCTCTGTGGTGATGTGGTGCCCGTTTCCTTAGCAGGAATGTGCCCTTGCTCCATGTTCCTTCGTCTGCCGCCTGCTCTCCCTCTGTCTCAGGGGAAATACTGGAAGGTTTTTGGAAGTCAAGGGAGGCGGCTCGCCCAGTACCACCAGCCTGTTCCAGCGCGGCCGCGGGCTGAGCTTGGGCTGCTCCTGGTGGCTGCGCAGCCCGGGGGGAGTTCAGCTGCCCGCGCGGGGCTGGCGTCCCCCTTAGACGAGTTTCCCTTTGCTCTGGGGTGAGCTGAGCTGCTTTTTGATGGAAATACATCTTCTGGGCAAGTCCCTGGCCATTGTTTTTATTTTTTAATGTATTTGCTGAATCAAAAAGCCTTTTGCCTACTCTGAAGACTTTTGTTTTCCTCCCTCTAAAGCTAATTAATCAAGCCACCTCTTGGTAACTTTTGATGAGCTCGTTAGATTAGGTGTCAGAGATTGCCTGTTAAAAGGCTTTCTCACAAACTTACTTTCACCCTTTAAATCACATTTGTGGTTTTCTTTATAGCACTATAATTTTTCTACCTCCTTGTAAAACAGTCACCTGCATGTCTTTTATTGATCCGGTGACTAATGGAGCACATGTGGAATGAGTTTTTATTTGACTTGTATCTAAAGGAATGTATTAACCCGCCTCTGCAACCATCAGCTCGCCAGCCCTTCCGCGTGTCACCATGTCACACCTTTTTTCCTCTCTGACTTGGTGGTTTGGTTTTTTTTGCTCAAATGCAGTTTTAGTGACACACGTGCTTATTCTGGGCTGCGTTTTCTGCTCAGCTGCGTTCCCTGAGGGTGGGTCACATACCTGGGGCTCTGCAGCTGCTCGGGGTGAAGGAAGTCCCACGGCACCGCGCGGAGCTGGGACGGTTCCTGTTCCACCACAGAGGCAGGAAGGAAATACGAGCTGCTGCTCTCACTACAGGGCATGATCAGCAGCTCTGCGGCGCATTTTGTGCCTGTTTATTGGCATTTTTTGATCAGTGGAGGGAGAGGAGCAGCAGCTGCCGATTTCCTATTGTTTTTGCACAAGGATACTTGGAGAAACATCTAATTTAGATGTGGAGCAGCCAGAACCTCCCTGTGCGCCTGGAGCTTTGTGAGGACAGGCGGGTGCAGGGAGGGGGCCAGGCCTCCACAAAAGGCTGTAGGGAAATTGTGACAAACCCAAGTTCTCCTCAGTCCTCGCCAAGTCTGACACAAAGGTGTTATTTTGGAGAAGAGGGGTAAAATCTTACCGATTTGGATGTTTCTCTAGATGGTGGTGCATTTCTCTTTACTTTCTCTGACATGAAATGTGTCCCCTTTGCCATCCAGCTGTCCAAAGGCTGTTTTTCAGCCCAGGTCATCTCATCGTTGCTTTAGGATGTGTCAGTGCTATTGTGGCTTTCAGTCCCGAGGTGTTAAGTGAAGCTGCAGTACCTTAAAACCAACAACAAAATGTTAATTTTGCATGCAGTGTTTAGACCCGATCCCCAACGGTGCTCAGGCCTCTGGGGGAGGATACAGGAGTTTGGGGCACCCGGGTCCCTGATGTGTACGATGTGCTTTCGAGCCAAGTTTAACCTCTGACTGATGTTAATTGTGGAATGAGAACTGGATCTAGAAAAGCACATTCGGGGGTGCAGCAGCATCACACCCGTGGGCATTGCGAAGCATCAGGATCCAAAGCGCACAAGGTGTGCTCTCCTCAGGGATTTTAGGCAGCGCTTGAGTTCCTGAGATCGAGCGAGTCGGGTTTTCTACCCTTCCCACTTCTGTTGAGAAGAAGGCCTCGAGCCTCAGGGCATCCAGTGTTTTTAGAAAACACCTTTCTGGTCTCGTTTTCATGGGTGTTTGTGTTGGAATTAAAAAAACTCTTTGTAAGAAGCAGTGCAATCCCTCCTCCATCCCACTGCCCATCTGTCCGTGTTCCCCTTCCCGTGGGCTTCACCCTCCGCAGCTCAGGCACACGGTCCTGACCCCCATCATCCCAGAGCAGAGATTAACAGATACGGTTTATGAAAAAGTGGGCGGTTACTGTAAAAAGAAGTGTAGAAATGGGGACTCTCACCCCCAGCAGGCTGGGAAGAGGTTTAAGGTTCGTCCCGGTCCTGTAACGCTGGATTCACTCTGAAATCGCACCCTGGGCGCCAGCCAGCTCCTCACCAAGAGCTTCTCGGCTGTGCTGGCAGCTTCTCCTCCCACTAGACTGCCAAGGTTAACGCGCAGCCCCTTGGAGCTCTGTGTGCATGTTCTGATTATTGGGATTTCAGTTCTGACCGTGAGGCTTCGCGTTTGTGCCCAGCCTGGTGGCTGCGCTCGTGGGCCGGGTGAGCCCACGCTGGTCTGTGGTACAAAGAGGACTCGGCTCCTGGGGGAAGCAGAAGGTGGCTGTGTTTTCTCCTTAAAACCTGAACTCCTTAACAAAATAAGGGTCGGGCCTGTTGGGATTTCAGGAGAAGATCCACCACCTGCAGTTCCAGCCCTGAGCTGGTGCCTTCCACCATTGTGCTGGTGGTTACTGGAGTCAGCTGAGACCAAAATGCCTAAATTAGCTGGAAACTCCCAGGATAAAACTCCTCCCTCCTGCTGCTGCTTTTGGGTTGTGCTTTCACTGTCTTGTGCTCCTGGGTGCTCAGCAGATCTCTGCAAGTAGGTGGGTTGGGGTGATGCTCGAGGGATGGGGGTTTTGGGGCTCCGGGAGGGTATTGCCTCTGCTGATTCCGCATCGGTCCGGGGAGGAGGACAGGGATGAGCTGGTGCACTTTGGGATGAGGTACTAGAAAATTTTTAGGTTCCAGGAAAAGTTTTAGGCACTCTCCAGGAGGAAAACCTTTCCAAGGAGCAACTGTCTTCATGCTTTAAAAGTGTAAAAATGAAGAGATGTTTCTTCATTAGGGGAGAATTAGAAAGCTTTCATGTTTGTCCCAGCAGAGGTGCAACAGAGATGGGTTCATGATCTTTTCTGCAGCTGAGTTTGCTCAGAAGCAGTTTGTGTTTGAAAGAGCCCAAATAAGAAGAGGCCTCCTGATAAAGCATGAGCCTATAAATGGAGGCAGGGTAATCCAGGCCTAATTTTTAGGGTTTATGCTTTTGTAACCTTTCTGATTCACCTACTTTGTGGGATTAATCTGTGTCCCCACTCAGAAGCTGACCTCTGATCTCAGCAGAGGCTCACATCTATCCTGGATGTCTGCTCGCTTTGTGGGGCGGGCTGCTTCATTTAAAAAAAAAAAAAAGGTTTAAAACCCAATCAAAAGTTTAAATCCTAACCGGAGCGTCCTGTTCCGGTGGGGAAAGTTCCGCTCAGGGCCGTATTGCAGGGAAACTGCGAAAACGGAAAATGTGGGAGCGGACCCCCCAGTTTTGAAGGTTTTTGGGGTGCGGTGGGGAGGGGGCCGGGCTGGGGCAGCGGGGCCGCCCCTGGCCGCGGAGGCGGAGCCGGGGGAGGCCCCGCGGAGCCGGGGGAGGTGCAGGGCGGTGGCGGGCGCAGCCGGGACGAGCACGGTACCGGGGAGCTGGGGGGGAGGTATGGGGGGGGAGGAGGACGGTGGGGCCGCTACCGGAGCTTGGCCCGGTGAGTGCTGGCTCAGGGTTGGGGGGTTTGGAGAGCTTCCCCCGCCCTCCCGGGATCGCCACGTCCTTCCCCTCGGGGGTCCCGCTCCGGGAGCGGGGGGTTGCCATGGTGGCTCCGGCCGGTGTGGGGGGAGGTTGGGGAGCCCCCGCCACAGCCCCCGGCCTTGTTCCACCCGCCGGCTCCAGGCCCCGCGGCCCCAGAGGCCGCCCAGCAAAGGGCCGGGGCGGGGGGGGGGGTCGGTTCCTCGGGGCAGCTCCCCCCGGTGGGCTCCGCTCAGCACCCGGCGGCTGGGAAGGAGGGTGCTGCCACCGGGACGGCACCTCCATCCCCGACAGCGGGTGACGAGGAGGTGTCGAGCCTCCAACAGCCACCACTGCTGTGATCCCACCAGGACCCCCGGTTGAAGGGAGAACAGCCCAGGGGCACGGGCAGAGCCACAGAAGCTCCAGTGGTCCAAGAGTGGCTTGTGCTGAGCTCCCCGGCCGGCTTTGGCCAAGGATGGATGCACGGGGAGCCCGGGGATGGGGATGTGGTTGTCTGCAGGGTTTTGTGGGTCAGGCAGTCTCCGTCAGGTTGCCCAAAGAGGAAGGAGGGTGAGCTGGCGGGGCTGCGAGAGCGGAACACGAGTGTAGAGGCAGACGGGGCATCTCTCGCAGCTGTTCACAGCACCGAGCTGCAACTGGGATCATCTGCAGGTTTGGGGTCGGTCCTGCCCCTTGCTGGGTGCCCACAGGGCTGGGCTGAAGCTGGGATACCCGAGGGTGAGGTTGGCTCTGTGGGGAGAAGAAATGGGGGAGGACAGCATCTCCCCCTGGCCAGGCTGAAATGGGGGGCTCACCTGCTTATTTTGCCTACAAGGCTGAAATAATAGTGGCCCCTCATGTTAATGAAGGCAAGTTATGGCTGTTCTTCAGCTTGGTGGTGTGGCTGGAGGGTGAGGATGCTCTGGTTAGCCTGGGGATAGCTGGGCTGCAACTGTGGCTGCCTGAAGGGATGAGGGCAGCTCTGGGAGCGCAGTGGAGGGTTTGTCTCAGACCTGACATAAACAGCAGCCGGTCCCGGCATGTAGGGGCTGAGAGAGGAAATGAAGGGGAAGAATTCTCCTGCTTCCACCTTCTGACCGATAACCACCATCGATCAGTGTCTAATAGGAGCACAATGGCTCTTTCCAAAGGGAAATAGGCAGCTGCCTCTTCATGCACCGTGAGATGTGAGATAAAGGCTGGTGGTTGGTTTGTTTTTTATTTGTTTGGTTGTTTGTTTTTTTTTTTTCCTCCTGTAACTGATGCTTTGTTTTGAGATGTTTGGAAATACCTCGCGAGGAAGTTCCTCGTTGTAGAGCAGCGTGACTGATAGGGGTGCAAACAGCACCGGGGGCTCCGCATCGCACCGTGGGAGGTGATGCAAAACAAGCGGCACCACCGTTAAGCAATTTCCCGTCAGCAGGGCCCGTCCACATCATGTCTGAAGGAAGCATCACGCTCTTGTCACGCTCGCTGTGGTGAAACGAGGGAGATTTGGCATCCTTGGTCAGCCCTGGGTGGGGAGGTGACACTCTGCTCTTGTCTCTCAGACGTTGGCAGGGGGATGCCAGCTTGATCCAGAACCATGTCCAGGTACCTGAAGCATTTCACGGTGGTGGGGGATGACCCCGTGCAGTGGAGCAATGACTATCAGAAATGGGAGGAGGAAGAGGAGGTGGTGGCTGGGGAGAAGCAGCCAGATTCGGAGATCAAGCTGGAGCCCACCAGGAGCCGCATCTCCTTCCAGGACATGATGAAAAAGCTCTTCAGCTCTCACAGGTTTCAGGTGAGGCAGAACAAACTCAGGCCAAAGGGAGATGAGGGGTGAAATTTGGCCAAAAGCACCCGGGACAGCAGAGCTGGTGTGGGATGGAGCTGAAGGCAAGCGGGGAGCAGTGCCTGCGAGAGCAGCTGCTGCCTCTGAGCTGGGCCATCCTGCCAGAAACGAGCCGCTCCGCAGCGGGCGCAGATGTTTCCTCAGCGGCGACAAGCCTCGGTGCACACTCGTCACGGTGCCAGCGGAGGCACGTGCTCTCCCCTGGCTCGAGCTCCCTGAGACCCCCCACGCCAAGCGACGGGAAACGGGTGCATTGGGTGGGGAACCAAGCAGTTTTGTGCGAGCGAGAGTTTGCAGGAAAAACCCACCAACCAGCAGCTGTGGGAGGGGGAGTCCTGGGTGGGAGTAACAGAAAGCTCCATAAAATGCAACCAGCCGAATCGGGGACACAGGGGAGGGTCTGGCCAGGCACCCTATGCGAGTGTTGGGCCATGTTTAGCTGCATCAGCTCCTATTGGTGATATGTCCATGTTGGGAGAGGGTTTCACATTGGTTCTTCTCCTCCAACAGATCTTGGTTGTCTGCTTGGTCATCCTGGATGCCTTGTTGGTTCTTGGGGAATTGCTTATGGACTTGAAAATAATCCATCCGGACAAATACAATATAACCCCAAAGGTAAAATGCAGGGAAGTGTCAATGTGAGCCATGATTTCCCTCTGGTGTTCAAAGCCCACTAGACAGGACAACCAGGCAGGCAGGACCTCAGCCTTCAGCCCTGCCAAGTGGGCAGCCACAGGCACAGCGGTGAAGGTCTCGCAGGGATTTGTGTGACAGCCCTGCAGCGTGCGGGGCTGACCTGGCTCGGCTCAGGCTTGTCCATGCAGCAGCTTCGTGTTTCCTTTGTGCTGCAGCAGAGCTGAACTGCTCTCGCCACCCTTCTCCCAGTCATCTTTACACCTCCTGGTCCAGCTTACCCAAAGCTGCCACATGCTTGCTCTCGTTGTCTCTTAGAGCAGACAAAAAGTCCCCAGCCCTTCTCCTTGTAGAGCCAAATTAGACATGCCCTTGAATGGTTGAGGTTTTCCTCCAACAGAGGAGGGTTTCCTGGCTCTAAACTTGTGCTGTCTTTTCCCAGGTTTTCCATTACCTCTCCCTTTCCATTTTAACCATCTTCCTGGTTGAGGTGGGGTTTAAAGTCTTCATCTACCGCTGGGAGTTCTTCCAACACAAGTTTGAAGTGCTGGATGGGATCGTCATCATCGTGTCATTCATCCTTGACATCATCCTCATATTCCGGGAGCACGAGTTTGAAGCTGTTGGGCTCCTGATACTCCTGCGGCTGTGGCGAGTGGCCAGGATTATCAACGGTAGGCATGTGCGGCCGGTTGGGAGCTTTCCCTGGTGTGTGGGCTGGATTTGCAGACCTTGCCTTGAATTATCTGGGCTCACATCTTTTGTTTCCTTCTCCAAGCCATCTGCGAGACCCTGGGGTCTTGCTTTTCCAGCAAACTCAGTTTTGCCCGTGTGGTTTTCGTTGCTGAAGTGCGGCCTTAATTAGGCTGTAATTTATTTGGAGCAGCAATAATCTGCTGCTTGTGTTGGTGTGATGCCTCAGTGAAGGGTACACAGCAGCTGACCTGGGCTAGCGGAGATCCCCAGCTCTAGCACGGCAGCATGGGCATGTTCCCCTAAAAACAACCCTTAATCTGTTCTTGCATCCTTTCCTCCTGGAGAGGGATGGCTCGTATCATAACTTCACATTGTGCGATCCTTTTTGCAGTGTTTTAACAGGGCAAAAGGGTACACCCCTGCCCTCCTGAATCTATTGATGTAGCAGAGTGGGTTTTACTGCTCTGACACTCTGCTGCCACTCTGTCATCCCCTCCAAGGATGCTGAAAGGAATGTCCTAATCTCACTCTGGATCTTTCTTGATTGGATTCAAAGGATTTACCATAAAAAGAATATAAAATGTCCCCAAATCAGACTTCACTGATTCTGCTGTTATAACTGTAAATTGTTGCAAAGATATAAACTTCTGAAACGAGTGTAGCTATTTTCTTCCTTCTCGGGGAAGAGATTTTGGGATTCAAAAAAAATGTGGCAATGAGATTATCCTTAACTCCTGAATGAAATCTCAGACCAGGTACTGTCCTGTGGCTACGAGTGCACTTTTGGTGAGTGCTCTGTACTTGACACAGCCCTACGTCTTTTAGCTGGAATAAAAGGAAAGGATGGGGCTGTGTTTGTCACCTGTAGCCCCCCACTGGCATTCTGATAGGGAAAATGTGCCTGATCAGTGGCAGTGGCTGAGAAGAGGGAAGATGTGAGAGCAGCTTGTGGCTTCTTTTTAGTTTGAAGTGAAAGTCAGAGAGAAACTGGATTTCTGTGCAGCTGCATAAGCCACGGGAACCTCAGTGTCTCTTAACACACCATTTTACAGCAGCAAAACAGTACTGCATGTACAAGTAAATCCCCTTACCCTTGGGTGCTTCTGGTTTTCCCCACAAGCTTTTCACCATGCCTGCCCGCTTTGAGCAACAGAAGGGACAAAGAAAATCTGCCCCAAGCTTTGGGTGTTGTGTGTCTAAGCCTGGGCACGGTTCACTGCCTTCAGTCACTGTTGATTGATAGGGACCAGGTTACAGGCAGGTGGGGACTGTTTGATGTTATCAATGCAAATAAGCAGCATTGCTGCTTTGTCTTCAGAGAAATAAACCCCCAAACCCCAAGCCTGCTGCCTGTAGCACTAGAAACACAGGCACGCATCAGTGCCTGCCTCCGTGCACGTTGTTCTGTCAGCAGCCGGCGGAGAGCTCTGTTGGGAAGTAAGAACATGATGTTCTTGATGCTTTTACCAAGTGCTTCTTTTTTTTTTTTTTTTTTTTTATTTCCCCTCTCCCCCCTCAGAAAAGGGTGGGAAGAAAATACCTCTACTGCGGGGGCTGACTTCACATGTAATAACCTAACAATATTTCTGTAGAGAAGCGACACCTCCGCTGTAATGAGAAACTGTGTGCCCTCACTGCAGTCACGCAAGGTGAAGCCAAAACCTTAAGGACCTGATGATGTGCCATGTCCTGCTCCAGGGCCAGATCGATCAGCCCCGGGGCGGCCGAGCCTTGTGCCCCAGGCTGTGCTGTGCACTGCTGTTAGAGCAAGGCTCCTGACTACATGAAACCAGCTAAAACACAGCCCCTCGTGGCAACAAAGCTGCCAGTTACATCCCCCCCAGGCTCTGCCAAGGGAGAAAATTCAAATTCAGGATTTGAATGACAGTCTGACTGATTAATTCAGCTCAGAGGCCAGACTGCCTCTTCCCAGCAGAGTATTGGTATCTGAATCCCTGGGGTGACTAATTTAAAACCCTCCTCATTAAGGAAAGCACTTGGGAAGGCTAGTTTGAAGATGACAGAACCAGAGCTCCAGAGGAACACGTTTAACTCGTTGAATACAGACCCTGTGTACTGTTAACCTCCTGCTAGTGGCTCTTTGTATACTGTAAAATGAATCCACTGTGAATTGTTTCACAGGAATAATTTTATCAGTAAAGACTCGCTCTGAACAACAAGTGTCCAAGCTAAAGCAAGCAAATCTGAAACTTGCAACAAAGGTTGAACAACTGGAACACAGCTGTGTAGAGAAGGTAAGAAAACGCTTTTAATTTAGGCATTTACCTACTGGAGAGTCCCCAGGACAAGCTGGTCTGGGATCCTTTTGCAAGGTTGCCACTGTCAGCTCAGTTTCTTCATCGGGAAGTTGTGGGGTAAGCTGGGCTAAAGAGCCACAACCCTGCCTGTCCCTACTGCTGCCCTACTTACTTCAGCCAGGTTGTGCTGGTTTACTGCAGCATGAGATATGTTTCAGCAGTGGGAAGATCTGTGGCAACCTGGGAGACTTTTTTAAGGTACGAGCTATATTAATGATTTGACTCTTGTCTCCAACAGGAGCAAGAAATTGAGAGGCTTACCAAGATATTAAAACAGCATGGACTCACCAGCGAGCAAAAATAGGAGGCCAGTTTCCTGAGGTGGGAAGTCTGCCCTGGAGAGTGCAGTGTTGAAACGTACCAGTTTGACCTGAAAGGTTTTCTTGTCTCCTTGCTTTCTCTTGTATAGTGTTGTCTGTAAACATTTTCTATTTGACCACACTTTGATTAGATCTTGGGATTGCAAAAATAATTTTGCTGGAAAATTAATCATGTGTACTCCCTGTAAACAGTGATTTCGTAAGATGTTTCTTGTACAGTTGTACAGTCAAAACTGCAAAATAATTTAATAAATACACATCTTTACAAGCTATACAACTACAAAAGTACCACTTAAAATAATTGAATTTTTCTATGATAACATGCTTTGTTTGTAACATCTTGCAGTACAAATAAGAACCCAAGCTGAAAAGGCCATTTCTTTTCTACAAGCTGACCGTTCATCATTATTACATCTCTTTGCCAACTATTTTTTTCGTATTGTTGGTAGTTTCCTCATTTCTGTTGCTGCTTGAGCCACTTTGTTATTTATATAATGTTCATTTCAAAAATACCAACATACCACTCCTTTAGTTCAATCAAATCAGCACCAAAATAGAGCAAACATGTGCCTTCTTACATCAAACAATGCCTTGTTCTCAACAGCAGATTTGAGTTTGGATGCTGTGTTCTCTCATCTCTTCTTCCATTTTAAGTGTTTGCTTGCAGCCCACTGGGCTTCAAAGTTCTTTTGTTTCCACAGCTCATAAATCAACACATTAAAAGAATTAGAATATATAAGAACAGATGTAGGTGAGTGGACTGCTGGGAAGAGGTAAGACTCCAGAAAAGCCATTAGAAAGTGCATTCTAAAGGACCAGGCTGGTGTTTGAACACAACATGAACTTTTTCAGGTACTAGAAGGTCCCTGTGGAGAAACTATTTTATAGCTGAAGAGTAAGATTCAGTAAGTGGGAATTCTGAAAGGTGACTGAGGCAGGTGTCTCCAACTGATATCAGCCACAGTTGGAAGGAAGGGTCACTGAGCTTTTCTGAAAGCATCACTTAACTGTGTGGATTTTTAAAGAAAGGTAATTAATTAGTGGTTTGGGAAAAATACCTAGAAATATGTGGCTTATTCATCTATGAAAACAGATAAAGGAGAGGCCTTATCTAATAGCACATGATTACTTTAATTAACAATTTAGCTCTGCTGTTCCCAGAATGATGAAACCTGGTTTCCTACAGAGCTGTAGTGTGTCCCTGTGCTCTTCCCTTCCCCTCCCGCCTCCGCGCTGCGAGGCAGGCAGCTCAGACTAGTGCTACTTTGGAGCATCTGATGGGCTGGAAGGCTGGGGCTGTATGTGTGCTGACTGGCCAGCTAGAACCACAATTGAGTTCATACTGTGACCTTTTTTCCTCTTGGCAGAGGTGTAATGAGGAACCCTCTGCTGATGTGGGGTTTTTTTCTGCCCTCAAGCTTCCGAGAACCCTCACAAGGGCTCACCCTTTCTCTCTTGGCCAATTTTAACCCAGTGTATCTATAATTTAGAAGAAACTGATGGCCCATCACAGTGACTGGATAAACCTTGCTTTAGGAAATGGCTAAAAATCAGAAAAGGCAGAAATATGGCTTTTCCTTTTTTTTTTTTTTTTGATGCATACTTACCTTAGACAAATGGAAAAAAAAAATCAAAGGGTAACTTGGCATTAATGGTGGGCCAAGCTTTATAGCCTGGCTCTGCAGGTGAAGAAATATCAGTGAAAACAACAGAACTTGTTATAGGAATAGTCCTTTCCCTCCCCAAGGGAAGCTGCAATGAAAATGCAAATGGTCATTAGCTTCAGTCTTCTCTTTGTAGCACTACTTTGTTTGGAGTAGGTTATATTTTCAGCTGTTATTTGTAATAGTTTTTTTTTTCATATACAGTTCCATGTTTCTTTTCATGAATGATGTATAGATTTTTACTGAAGTGTGTTTTGGCAAGCGGCCCACAGTTGTGTTTGAGTTGGAACAGAAACTGTTGGGTGCAATACATTCTAATATGAAGTGTTACCTTTAGATAAAGAGATTAACGGGGTCACTATCGCACAGCTAATACCTAAGCAAAACAAGCCATTCTTTTTATCTTCAATCACATAATTAAATTACATACCTGCTTCACTGTGGTGGTAGTGATTGTTGCTGTAACGTTCACTATTCTGGCTTGTGGATTGACTAGGGATCCATATTTAGTCCACTTCACTTCTATTTCAAATGATACTGGTATTTGGCATGAGCTCTGAAAAGTGTTATAAATTCTCTCATTGTCTGACTTGTACAAGAGGGACCACATTAATTATCCATCTTATTAAACTGGCAGAAGGCCCCCGGAAAGCTCACGCTGGGAGGTTACCAGAGCAACTACACCATGCCTGTGCCCTGGACTGCTGCCTGTGCGGGCAGCACAGGTGCTTGCAGCCTTGGCTTGGGTGTCCCTGCAGTTTCTCCATAGATGACAAACCAATTGTAACTGTACTTCAGGCAGGACTGTTCTACCTGAGGCAGGACTTTGGCTCTTAGTGATAGTGCTGAGCTGGCTCTTTTTAGTAGGAAGACTTATTTCGGTAATAACGCTGGGACAGTAGAAAATCCTTAACTCTGCCAGGGAAGAATTCTGAAGCCCTACAATTCTAAATATTTTTAAGTAGGTCTTCTTGAACTGTCAAGTTTCTGGTTATAGAAATCATTCTACTGCATAGCTGCAAAAGCATGCAAAAAACCTATACAGAAGCTGTCATTGAGAGGGTGCTGAGCACGCACTCAGCAGCGCTGCCTACCACCAACAGCAGGGACTGCGCCGCATCAGGAGGAGAAGGGCTGCTACAGAAGATGTGGAGAATAAACGTGGTGTTTGGCTCGCTGTTTCTGTCCTTTAAAGGATTCTTGCTATCCTATTCTAACCTGGTATAAGAGCACGAAGTAGAAACAGTGATCTGCTACTTCACTCTTTCAACATTGCCAGTTGTGTGCTTCATCCCATCTAAGCAGCAAGAGACTAAACTGTGACTAGAACTGGGTTGGTTTGTACCTAATGTATTGTCCTGATCCATAACTGAGGTGCCTGGATACCAGCTTGATTAAAAGTAAATGCTGGCCTTACAGAAACCCCTTGCTTTTTAATATTCCAGGAAGATTTACCTCCAGTTTGTTTCTGATTTTTTTTTCCTGAGGTCTGAGAAGCCTAAACTGATGCTGCAGTACAGGTATAGAACTTGGGAGAGAGGACAGTGAGAGCGAAGTTGGTGGTAGTGGTGTAACTCTTACCTGTTCTGAGGTGTAGAGGTGAGTTATAGGCACCCAGTCGAGCACATCCTGGGCTTGAGAATTTCCAAATGAGGCCACATATTCAGGAAAGCTTTGTCCCTTCAGTAAATCTAGAAGGGTCTGAGTCAAGGGCTGGCATTTCATAGCTGCTGTAATTCTTCCAGGAAAAAAAAAGATGAGTTAAAGCAAAATCCAGCAGTTTGGCACAGTAGTAATTTTTCCTTGCTCTCATGAACTGTTTAAGCCTTCTGGCTACAGTTGCTAATGTACACAATCTTATCAAGAGAAAGACCACTGTTAATTAAATGACATTTTTTATAATTAAATACTCCATTCCCAATACTCCTACAGCTGTATCAATGTCCCAGGACCTGAACAGATCCTAATGGAAAGGGTTGTCAGAGGGTTAAAAGCACTCAATAAAAAAAAAAGGAAATGTCCTCTTACCGTAACTTACAGCCTGATATCATGTTATAACCAAATAATACTGGGGTTCTGGCTCCCTGTGCTGACAGACAGTCCTGGTTGGATGTACTTTGCAGGATGGTAAGTTGACCGTATTTGTTAGTATTCTGAATGATGCCAGATGTAACACACAGTTAAAGGGAAATTCAACACGATGTATATCATGAAGAATCCTTACTCATATCCTTAAAATCTATCTGAAAGTGCTATAATAGCTCAAGACTCCTCTTACACTCTGAAGAAGCACTAGAGTGTACAATGAAGGTCTAAATCTAGCTCACAAAAAAGTTCCAGGAGATTGTAGTCAGGACTGAGTCATTTGCTACTTCTAAGACATAGCCAAAAAAAAGCACACTTTTACTTTTGGTGAAGAACAGATACATTTCCATGCTAGAAAGGGTTTGTGAAGACGGACTGGAATAAGTGCTGCAAACAAAATTTCAACAGGGAAAGGATATCCTTGTGGCCAGAAGCCCGCTCTTATAGGCAGTCCAACAACGTAACCAGGATTACCACTGAGAGGAACTGGCTTTGTATTTACCTGCAATGCAAACGTACAGTATTAGTTCTTATTCTGTACTGAAATGATTGGAAAACACAGAAATGTTTCCTTTATTTTAGGATTATTAACTGCCTTGAGCAATGATGGCCAACCAGGCTCAAACCACAACACAGTAGTAAGACTGCTCTGTAAGATTTTAACTGTTCTCTAACATTGGAGCAGGCTTTGCTTTCATTGGAAACAGTTATACAGAGTCACAAGATGACTCTTCTAAACGTGAAAAACAGACTTTAGAGACCTTTATTGCCCAGTCCTGAAATGCTGTCTTACTTGTGTGTCCAGGGCAAGTTACATTTTACCTTGCTGCTAACAATTGTTCTGATTCAAGTTTAATAAGTTTTGTAATTAAATGTCTTTCAGCAAGTCATCCGTAACATCTCTAGCAGTTACCTGAGTAAAGCTGATTTCAAAGCTCTGCTGTATTGAAATTGCTTCTTTGTTAATTGCCCCCAAGACAAAAGAAGCAGCTGCTTCTATTATTTCTCCTGCGTCTGTGTATGTAATGTGATAACTCACCTGAAAATTAAACATTTTAGATATTAATTAGAACAAATATGTAAGGTATGAAACTAGAAAAAAAAATAATTTAAACTATGTAAGTATTGTTTTCTTCCTTCCTTGCTTAAGAAACATTCAACTACGTGGTAGAGATATACTATATCCTCCAGAGGCTGGAGCCTCTTCAAAACTGACTTCTTGATAAACCCCTTCTAAGCCCAACATTCATCTATTTAAGATGAAAAGATGAGATGTTTTGCACTGTGTATTCCTGTCTCTGACACCACTGCGCCTGAAGTCATCTTCTCCCAAGCATAATGTAGATTCTAAACTCATATTATTGTCTGTTATGTCATACATACACGGTAATAACAGAAAAGGATTTCATCCTGTCTCCCTGTTATGTTGCATACAGTTATTATTTTGTTGCAAAACACTCTCTTTTATCCCAAAGTCAGTGTTTCTCCTGTCATGTTTGCTTTAGAGATGTTGCAATATATGG